AAAATAAGATCAATACTACCATTAGTTGACTAATGGACTAAGTGAAAACATATTTGAGTGTTATGAAAGATGCCTTAGCCTTCAGATCTAGTAGCATATATCCAATCGTAGGCCTTCACACTCCATAGGCAGAAGTGTACTCTGCCATTCCTTTGATTGTCTCATGCGAGCAAAGAGGAACATGTTTTTTTACAGGGAAGTGACAGCGTGACAGTAACTTGCACGTGCGTCTGTGTCAGACAAGTTGAAAGCCCTGGGCATCTCTTACATTAATACAAAGAAAGACCACTCCCTTATCTTTAAGCAGCATTCAAAAAGATCTGGTTATTCAAGGTTTCTTATTGATGTTGTTTTATTGTTATGACAACACACTTAACAGAGGAGTTTCTGCTTCTCTCTTTTGTTGTTTTCAGGATATTCTCATGAGCTGACTAAGGAATTAAAGCCTTTTAGTTTAAAAATGGACATACATTATTGAATTCGCTGATGGATTCATTGAACAATTCATTTTGCCCAGCATTCATTTAACTGAATTTGAGTGATCAGTCAAAAGGAATTTGTCAGGAAGTATAAAATATTCTGTGTGTGACATAGACAGTCATCAGAACAGCCGTTTGACACGGACATCAGCAGTTAGTGTCAGCTGCTTACAGTGGGCTCCGCTTTCTGACATGTCCTCCGCTGGGAGCTATCACGTTAGTATTTTCTAGCCAAGGTATAAAAACTGTATTGTTGAAATGTTTTTCTTTCCCATCAGTCCACTGAACAGAAAGCTGTCATAACATAGGAGCTGTCACTGAATGACTATTAGTCGCACCTTCGGGGTTACTATGATATAGGTTTGTCTTTTTAAAGAGAAGAAAACCGTTTTCACATCCGTACTAGAAACCTTTGTTGGTACAACAATACAACACAGTTTCTTTCTGCCTTATCTTTATTTTTAAGCTCATGATGTCCATTTCAAGCTTATTTGTGGAACATTATAAAGGCTCCTGGTTATTTCATAGCGTGTTCAAAGGCACAATGAAGAACAGATGTATCTCCTTCTCCTGTTTGCCTGCTCTCTTGCTTCGTATTCAGGGTTTAATGTTGAATCCATTTTCGCTAGTAACGAGTTAACAGATGAAAAAAGAGACCTCCTCTAAGTTTTTCTGCCTGTCAGTTTATCCAGGGATACCTTAGTTGTGTTCTAACTTCAAATGAGTCTTCCTGGTCTTAACACAAATAACAAACAATTAAGAACTTTTAGAACATTTGAATATGTTTAGCATTTTTCATTGCCCTAGCTGACTTATGAATTTGGAACTAAAGCTGAGTAAGCAAACCCAAAACAACAATAACTTTAAGGTGCAGCAATGAACTAGTGTAATCATGTTGCTTTCAGATTTGTTTTCTTTGCAGTCAATATTTTATGTCTGTGTTGGATCGCTCTAAGCTAAATCCTGGTAAAAATATCTACTCGCAAATTCTGTGTGACTGCTTGTGAGATCTGATTTTCTCTCCGTCTTAAATGTTTCTTAAAGCTGTTGAGCATCACGCACCGTAACTTTTTAAGAGCAAACAATCAGAACAACTGAATAAACCCATTATGTTCATATGTAGCCTTTGAATAAACAGTGTGGTTTCCTGTCTGTCCATTGAGCAATGGATGGAATGTGGAACTTAAAATCTAAAAACAAACCAAAATGCATCAGAGAAAAGTCCCTTTTATCTGCCTTTCTGTTTGCAGATCTGTTCTTTGTATCGATACAAGATAAAGTTGTATTGGCACATGGAAAGACCAACATTGTGAATTTGGAATCCAAACAACAAAACTGACTCAAATAATCTATTTCAGATGTAAGGGTTGAATATGAAACAATGTGCTCTTTGTGCTTTAATTGGTGGAATATGGAGTTTAACTCTGTCGACATCACATCAAAAAGGTTTTACAAAGACAATCATTTTCCCGTGCACAGAGGGGGAAAAATAACTGAAAGATGAGAAAAGAAAAATGTATAATTAGTTTGACCACCATGTCATTTGAAACGGGATTAGCAATAACAAATCAGAAAACAATAAAAGATCAGTACTAAGATAAATTAAAGGGCTTGCTTTTCATGGTAAAAATGATTGATAATGAGTTTGATGGTTGTCAGCGTGCATGCACTTTATGTGGTTGTGTGTGTGTGTGCTTTGGATGCATGCATACATGTCTGTGTGTGTGAGCGAGGGAGAGTTAGTGAGTGGGTATTTGTGTGTAATCATGTACGTCAGGCCGTCATGAATGGTGTGTTTGAGACAGAGCGGAGTGTGGAGTTCCTCGGGCTGGACCAAATTGGAAACAGAAAAACAAACATTCCCTAGGAACCCCCGCACTCCATAACCTCCCCCCCCCCCTCGTCTACCGGCTAGTGGCGCAGTCCAACCTGTCTGGGACAATGTAACGGTCTATAGTCGGACCGGACCACACACATTCGTGTAGGGGGGGTCTGAGCACAGGGGGGGGGGGGAGGGGAGGCGGTGGCTGTGGTGATGGGGAGAGCTGCAGGGGGGGGGGGGGGGGGGGGATCTCGATCTCAGCCATAATGACAGTTGGCAAAACAGACAGAAGAAGCATAAGAAAATGACAGAGCTCAGTGATGGATGGATGGGAAAGATGCGTGATGGAGGAGAGGAAAAATGAGACGCAGAGTTAAAAGTTGATGGACATGCGATGTGGAAATGAGGGTTGTAACAGAAAAAAAGAGAAGTCATTGTGGAGAAAATAAAGAAAAAGGAGGATAAGGAGAAAAACAGAGGGGCAGGGAAAGAGTGATTGAGCAAATGAGTAAGCAGCAGCTCCACTGAGTCAGAGCTCCACGGGGAAAATATTTAGTCACACTCACTCTTTAAGAAAAAGAAAACTTCTCTCCCTTGTTCTATTCCTGTTGTGAGTACTACTAATGAGTAAGTCCCCTCCAGTTGTTCTTTTTCTTTCTTTGGTTATGGAAGAAAGCTTTGCTGCTTTCTCTCAGCTGCTAATGCTCAACAGCTAATGCTATTATGTGGTTCAATCCTGTAATAACCGGAAGCATGTGTTATGTGATCAGTAGCAAAACATCCTAATGAAGGAGTATGGTCTTTGTATGTCTGTGTTTGCATGCAGTGCGTTAGCAATCGTGTATGTTCTTCAAAGCAGTGAAATATCAGATGCTCTCACAAACACTGTTTTAACATATTGTTTCAAGATGGGAGGAACTTTTTTTTACACGAGTCATAATTCCACAAATGACTCATAATTTGCCTAACAGTAATCGTGTTTTTGTCTTTTCCTTTAAAATAGCACATGATAAAATATTTACACAGTCAAATGGCTGGTAAGCTTCATTTTCTATCGTACCGACTAAAGAGCTGCATGGTGAGGACCACACTGGAGCAGGTAAACCACTTAACAGGTATCCTGGGAAATGAAGAACAACAGCCCTTAATTTGGCTTTATGTCAGCTTTTTTGCTTGCTTGTTTTCTTTGTTTAGAGCCAATAAGCAATAGGGCTAATTTAAGTAGAAAATATAAAATGTACAGTTCTCTTAAATTCAAAGAAAATGTGTTTTTAATATGCACAACTTCGGAATAATTCTAAGAAAATGTGTTTTAATATGCAAAGCTTCGGAATAACAAAGAAGACAAAACAGTGGCTTTATTAGCATGGAAGAAACAAGTTCCAAATATAGACTGCTCTGATTTGTATGTGTGTGTGTCTCTGTGTGTGTGTGTGTGTGTGCGTGTGTATGCCTGTATAGATTTCTGTCTGTTACACACCTACATGCGCACACACACTAGTGAGACTGACCCGAGGAAACGGCTTGTGTAAGTACAGACTCAGATTTAGATTTGCGGTGAGAGGGAGAAAGAAGCTAGATGGATGGAAAGAAGAAGGGGTGGCACACACAGAGAGAAAGAGAGAGAGAGAGAGAGAGAGAGGAGTGGTACAGGCAGAGAGGGTGGGGTGATTTTGTGGTTGGGGCAACAAAAGGGGGAACTGAGAACTGGAGTCTGACATTTAACACTAGAATTACCAAATAAAGAAAATCAAATTGTCAACGGTCACAGCCTCTGGGTATTGATATCCGCATTTTTTTTTAACAATACTTGAGCATTTCTCATTGATGACTGCTTTGTTCTGATCCATGAGGCAATCACTATTGAAGAACCGTGAATAATGACTATAGAAATGCAGAGGAAGACAGAAAACGAATGCTGCTGCAACAGATTGTTACCACAGACTCTTAATTGTTTTCTCGTGTGAATTAATTCCTTGTGGTATTATTATTGTCAACAATTGACTTGCTTACATTGTACTTAATACAACATTTGAAGTATTTTTAGCTGACCTAGATTGTTTCCACTACCAGAGTATTTGTTTTATAGATACTTGCTCTTAGAAGGAACACAAGTCTATAATGTTCCCACCCTTTAACACGCAGACACAGGCTTGTTGTAAAGAGGCATTTGATATTAATTGAACTTCCTTGTGTGTGACCTTGCTCTCATGTTTTAAAAAAAAAAGACAGATGGTTAGCAGCTTTCGAACACATTCCTTTTGTTAATTGCAGATTTTAGAGAAAAGAATCAAGGAAAATGAGGTTTCCTTATTTGAAAAAGGACGGTTGTGCTTTCCCTTGTCAATGACTCACATGTTTTGTTTTGTTTTACAATACATAATCAGTGGCTTGGTTTTATCCCGGGGCCTTTAAGCAATCTTCACATGTGAAGGGCGTTGTCAGCTATGGTGATAAAACAAAATTGGTACAATTAGAGACTTTGACTGGCTGGGGTCTCGACAGGGCATGACATATTTTTCTGTGCATTGTGTACCTTTTGATCTGTCAGTCAATTTGGATGTCTTAACTGTGGACCAAATTGTTTCCCGTACACGTAAAACATGGAGAAAATGTGTGAAGCCTGGCTCAGGTATGTTTCTGTTCACTGTGCCGATGTGCTTGTTCCTAACTGTATCTGTCTTTCTGTCATTTCCCAGGTTGTGAAGGTGACTGTGGACTCTGACAACCGTGACTGAGGGTTCAAACCAGATCCATAAGAAAAAGAAAAAAAATAGCGGACAGCAAAAACCTGCACAGTCCTCCCTAAACGGATCTACTTGATCAGACTCAAAGCTGTGTTGCCCAGCTGTTGAGCATAAGAGGAGCCACAGCCCCGCAGCAAAGGTAGCCGCTGCTACGTGGAGTGTAAGACCTTCCTAAACAAAAGTCAAAGAAGCTGAAAAGTGTTTGCTCTGATGTTCACGGACCTGTGTGGAGTTCGGTGGACCTGATAGAGAGATGGAGGGTTATTAGTTGGGCCTGCCGCCTGGTTTCTGCTTCTTATTATCGTGTGGAGTACAGAGGGCCAGTAGCCGGACTGTTGGACACACCGAGACGCTTCCTCAGAGCTGATGCCAAGGCCAGGAGTCCACCATGATGTTTTTATAACCTGATGATCAGCAGAGGTAAGACAAAAAGATTGAAATCCCGTTTGTGTGAATCACTCAATATTGTGCCTATGTTATTTACGATATATCCTTTCTATCACAAATCATTTGTAGAACTTTATTATTTAACATTTATTAATACAGTTACTGTATATTGAATTCAAAATAATGCATAATTTACCATCGTATGTTTCTATATAACACATTAATGCTTCAGTAAAATTCAGTAATTTGGGTGGGATCATATCCCTTTTATGACATAAAAAATATATTTGATTCATGGTCATTCATTTATATTATCAGATTTTTTTTTTTAATTGATAAAGGTCTTGGCTCACGAGTAATTATTATTTTTATTTATTTATTTCTGTAAAATCAATAAAATGATCAAGCATAAACATTCATGTTAATTTTAGAATTTCTTTTCTGATTAATGTATATTAAATAATAAATTACAACTTTACCTACTATTATTTTCTTTGACAATATGGATATGTTTGTGGTTGGTTTCTACTTATTTTTTTTAGTGTGTGCTTAGTTGAGTGTTTTTTGTTTTTGTTTAGTTATAGTGAGTCATGACTTTGAATAAAAAAATAAATACAATAAACATCATGCCTCATTTGTTGAGATGAGAGATAAAAGCATCTCTTCCGTTCAAGACTCCACCGTTTCGTGCTGCTCGGCAGAACAGCGTTATTTCCTTGAGCTAGAATGGGTACAGGGGGTAATTTACTGAGACTAAACAACTGCTGATATAATGGCGTTTATGCAGAGCAACGGTTCTGTGACAAGCATTATGAAAAGCTGCTCTTAGTCATCACTGTCGGAGGAAGTGACTGTGTGTTAGCTGCTGTTCTTGTGAGGGTGGAAAACAGTTTGCATGATTATTATCCAGTGAAGAATGACTTTGACATTATGGAGCAATTGACTCCGAGCCAAACATTACCTGCTCGTCCATCGTGCTTAATTCGCTGCACCCCGGTTCAGTAAACCTCATTAGGGACAGAGCTCATTAGATCCCTACACTCTGTAAAGTTTAGTGCTACAACTTGGTCAGCTGTTTTAATTGGCAGGGTAGGATCACATGCACATAAAGCAAAATATGTAAGTAATTGTTAGCAGCCGTGTCTCGCTAAGTGAACCTCTCTGACATAACTGTGTTTCTTTCCCCTTGCAAAAACTTTAAATTGTACCTGCAGGGGTAGTCATGTGGATAAATACCAGAGGTGTGAACTTACCTGATTGGAAAATGGTGATTTTGAGCCTGCAATTACAGCATGGTGACGTAAAACTAGAAGCTTTTTGTGGCCCGCAATCAAATGTAAAGCTTTATTTTAACTGTGAAAAGAAATCAATCTTTTCACGACAACTTAAGTGTTGGAAGTGAACAGGCCGGTGTTTCTGTTGCTGCATGCGTTCATGCATTCTAAACAGTTTTAAGTGCTGCAGGAAATGCAAATACATACAGTAGAGGCTATTATGTAAGTGTGTGCACAAAGCTGCTGTGGTTTGTGGTGTAGAGTACATTATAACTATAGCTGTGTGAATATTCAATGTGCCTGTGGAAATATTTTATACGTCATACAAGCTACCTATATTTGTATGCGTAATGCAAGCTATCCTGTATATGGAATAATTTACTCTTTTCTTGTCTTTGTGCCTGTGTGTGGGAGAGAGAGAGTGTGTGTGTGTGTGTGTGTGTGTGTGTGTGTGTGTGTGAGGAAGAGAGAGAATGAGAGAGATGGAGAGACATAGCTTGAGTTTGTAAAGTTTAGTAAACACTATAGTGATGTGTTGCATGATGTACCACATCATATTTTGCTGGATCAGTTGTGCATCCAAGACACACACACACACACACACACACACACACCCGCCAGCACACACACACCCGCCAGCACACACACACACAATTTGTTTGTGACCATTTTTTTTCCTCCGTCATCAGTTGTCCACGCGCACAACTGCTGCGTTATCCTCCTGCACCTGTCACCACACACACTGAAGTGCTCTCTGTCTGTTTCCTTTCTTTTTCTCACACACACACACACACACACACACACACACACACACTCTTTTTTTTTCTTGCTGTCTCTGCACTTTTCATTATGAACTGCTTCTGCCGAAAATAAATTGTGAAACTGTCCACTTATAATGCATAATAACTGGGGTATTGTTTCTTGGAGGAGATTGTTTGGACGCTGTTTAGTTTTGAAAAATATATTTATTTCAGCGCATTTGAAAAAATAAAGAAATGTATACTAATTAATTTTGGGATGGTGGCAGAAGAGGAGAATTATTATTATCTCTATATGTAAAACAACCTTTTTGGCCATTAGGAATACGTTGGAATTTCTTGTGTCAATTGAATCTCTTTAAGATGAATTGCATTTGCTTACTTTTATTTGTGTTCATGCTCATTATCATGATCACTCCATGGTAACAGTCTGTTTCTTCAAAGCTGCCTTTATTTGAGTATTTTAAGAGTGTTTTTGGATGTCTGTTATCGTAGAGTTTTTCTTTACAAATTAGTGCAAGCTTGAGTATATGGTCCAGCAGCGTATGTTGTGAATATGAGTGCGGGAATATGTGTGTGTGTGTGTGTGTTTGTATGTGTGTGTGTTTATGTATGTTTTTCATTATGTGGTGTGGTGGCTTTGCTTGGTGATGCTGTTCGGCAGGGCGGATTGCTTTGAGCTGCTTGATGCTTTTAGCTGTGGTCTGTGTGTGTGTGTGTGTGTCCAACTGTGTCTATGCATGTGTCCCATGTTTGCATGCCTTCAGCTGTGTATATACACATGTGTGTGTGAATGCAGGCTTGTATGTATATGTGTGTGTTGTGGTTCTACGTAGTCTTTGATGTGCTAGTACAAGGGCAGATTTTCTTTCAGAGTATTTGAAAACTGAAGAATGTTGAGTAGAGACAATTCAGTCAGGCCCACAAGCAAGTTTGACTCAAATGCTACACAACACAAACACACTTACACACACATTACTCAAACAATCCGGAGTTTAGATGTGATGTGATCTAGTGCCTCACAAATGAGTTTAGCTCCTCTGAGAAAGTGAATCCATATGTGTTCTTTCTTTCCTGTTAGTAGATGTTGTTTTTTCTTTCTTTATGATTCTCAATGTCTTTCTTCCAGTGTTGCGCTGGATCTTCCTGTCACACAGTTATGCCAGTGAAACATGGTTCGGTGGAAAATGTGTCATTTTGCGTTCAGTGTATGTATGAACAACCTGTTGACCGATTTTGTGCCAATGGTTACACATTGTGTGTCTAATGACTGAGCTCATCTTACTTACACATTTACAACAGGATATACTGCTATTAGCACACACACACACACACACACACACACACACACACACACACACACAGGGTTTTGTGTCAGGGTTTCATTCTGTATGTAAGGGACAGCAACATATAACCATTCATCAATCTGTACAGAGGGCAATAAACCTATACCCCTCTTAGATGTAAACACACACACACACACACACACACACACAGCAGGTTTTTTCTCTTTGTCCCCCAAATCCTAAACAACAATTTATTCGAATTATTTCCAATTAAGGCTTATTAATTATGCCGACAAAGATTAATAAAGGAGGTGTCACAAGCTGTCATTGCAATTAATGACTTAATTTGCTGGGTTGTTAATGATCCACTTGTTTAAAGGGCATATAATCAATCAAAGATCAGAGTGACAGGTTTGTGTTTGTGGCTCTGTATTGTTTTCTGTGATTGTTTTCATAAAAGTATGACATTGAGTCAGCAGACATTGTTGTGTAGTAACCCTTTCAGTTTTCTCAAGCAGGTATATGAGTAACCACCTTCCAAATCTTCCATTTGGTTTACACCCAACAGAGTTCCCATGCTTTCAGCAGCCAAAGAAAGAGTTGTTGACCTTTAACAACACACAGCAGCAGTGCGTCATGTTCCTCACTTAATGTGTTTTGGCCCTCATCTTTATTGGAAAGATGAAAGTGTAGCGTCAGACTTGAAACGGTTCAAATGTTGTATACCATGCCAAAAAAGGTCAATTGGCTTATTTCAAACCAGTGACATTGCAGCTATGTGAGATGCACGGTAACTCCTCAGTTGCAGAGGTGTTATGCGTTTGGCACATTTTTAATTGTTGTCGCATGTTAGTACTTGTGCTTAGTAGAACAAATCCCTAATAAACTTGTCCGTCAATGTTGAGAAGTTAATGCTAGTAGTACAATTTGCCCCACCCAACAACGTCTTTACCTCAGGAGACTCATGCCAAATTCATGTTGAATGACTTTACCTTGGTCCACGTCCACGGGGCGCCTATGTCCCGAAGCTTTCTACAGTAATACTAATTGGAGCTCATTCTTCAAGAGTTTACAGCCGCAAACTTTGTCAAATCTGGCAACCATATATGGACCAGGCCTGCTTCATATTTAGATGGAACAGTCAACTAAGTGTTGGACTGTATGCGCAGACACTCAGCAAAGTCCACCAAACTTGGCTTCTGATTTGCTCTGTGATTTATATTCAGTCTGTATAATGTTGCAGGGGCTTGTTAGCCAATATTAGCCTCCAGCTGTCATATAGTATAGCCAGATTTATTAAAGGCACCACACTAATGAAGGAAAATTGTAAATACCACACAATTTCTGTCCAGACCCATTGTATATGAAATAGAAAAATAGGTGTTAAAAAGTAGTCGTTATATTTGATTTAAAACCTAACATTAACTGCATCCTTATTGGTATAGAGAAGTGTATTGAGTAGTTGCTATGGCTGTCTAAGGCTCACTGTAGGCAAACTGTGGGAAACCATATTGAGCTATCAGATATTGAGCCTGAGCGCTGCGTCCCTTTTTTAAAGCAGCAGAAATTGTTTTATTGATACGTTTTCGGACCTCTGGAATTCACTCTCTTCTCTTGATGACCTGTTCATCCGTGGGGACAACTTTACAAAGCCAAAACTCACTGGCATTTGTTGGCCACTAATTTTCCACCACAGGTTTCAGGGATGCTTCTTT